CCTTCCTTTAAAATGAGAGAAAGAACACATAAGAGGTGCAAGGTTTTAAAAATATGATTATATAGACTACATATTTTAAGGAATGCTGCATGGTCTTAATAATACCATATTATTAATATGGTACCAGTCTCAGATAAAGTTCTTCTTACACTTTCAGAAATGAAAAATTGTCCCTTCGATGTTCTCAGACCTCCTGCTATTTCACAATGAGAATTGCTCTAATTGTAAAGCATAGCAAAAATTCAGAGTAATTTACTGTACCTGAACAGAAACTGCAGGTCCCATTTGTAAAACTGGTTTAGGCAGGGACAGGCATATGTTCAGGTTTACAGCATTCCCAAATGCCTGAGATCTACAGTATTGTTATCACTGAACAAGACTAAAACTAACCTGATTGCCTGCTCCACGGACAGCAACTTTACTACTGGTTGAGTCACAGTCATCTGAAAATGCAGCTGCATGTCCAGGTTTCAATGGAGTGTTGTAGAGTTCAACAATATCATCTGGAAAATGGAAGCAAGCACAGGAAAACCAAAATCAATCGTGACTAAGTGCTGAGTTAGGCTTTGTTCAGTCCATTGTTACAACATATAAAGCTACTCAGTTTAACCCAATTCACTCAAATTTACAAAGTTAGTACAGAAATGTTTGGGTTCTGTGAGAGATAAGACGCTGACCTCAGCATAAGGCCAGTGGCAGCTAACAAAGGTCCCATACCTTGCACTATTACATCATCATCCACATAGATGACCTTCTCTGCATGAGGTACCAAGTTGGGCAAGTAGAATCTTGCAAAGGTTAACTGTGAGAACAGCAAAGCAAGAGAAGTGAAGAATTAAATGAAAAAATTGCCCAAATAAATGTGAAATTGACTGATGTTTCTGGCACTTATCTGTGGCATTAATATCCAAGACAACTTCTATCAAAGAAGTGCAATAGGCAGCAATATCCTACAAGTAATTTAAAATAAACATGTTCCATCAATTCCTGGTTTACCACGACTGTATGCATTGATAAAGTAACTTTAAAACTGGTCTATATAAGAATTTCTTATTTCTCCACATAGATCTGCAGCATCTCTGAGGTGCTGGCATGCTGGACGTGCCAGCTGCTTTGTTTCACTGTGGCTAGCAGTAAAAAATGATCCTAGGCATGCATATGTAGATATTCAAATCCATCTCTCACTATCTAGATACTTAATTTTACTGAAATTTAGGAATTTGATTATGAAAGATTGTTTCTATGCTAACAGATTTGATTTTGATCTCTAGCTGTGTTCAAAAGCCAACATCAAAATATATTGTTATTAACTACTAATTGCAAAAAGTAATCAGCATCATCCTCACTGGTTTGAAGGTGTCTGTCTTTTGGGGATCCACTTGTACTTTGCCTTCTAAGACACGAGGGTCAAAATCCAAAATTTGATATCTCATATTTTTCAGAGGAGGGCTCTTCAGCCACATCCTGCAAGCAGGAGAAAGGCACAGATCTTGTTAGATAGGACAAAATCAAGGGAACAGCAGGAGATCCAGCTAACAGTGACACAGATCCTGATGTGGCCATTCACTTCCCTGCCCAACAAATACATCTGGGATGTAATCAATGCTGACATCGGTGCTGTCCTGTGTGGCCACAGGGGCAAGTCCAGAGTCAGCAGCTGCACACCTGGGACATGGAAAAGGTACGAGGTCACTTCTTGTTTTATCAGAAATACACAGTCCTGTTATCACAGGCCTTTCCCAAAACCATCAGTGTGGACAGAAGGGGATAAGAATAACAGGATCAAAGAACAATCTACAAAAATGGAGAAACATGACTGCCAGCATTTGAATTGCTTAGACGAAATGTAGAAGTAGTTTTTACAACCCTTCTACCAACAAACTCTAACCTCACTGGTTGGATATAAGCCCAATAGAAAAGATGTTTCTTTTCCATCCCTGAAATCTGACCAGGAAAAACGGTGGTGGGAAAAACTCCCACAGCAGCCCTGTCAAAAAGCTGCCATAAGCAGCAGGAGATGGGACTGGCAGTCAGGGGAGTGCAGCTCCAGGGAAAGGCAGCTTGCTCTCCTCTCAGAAATACAGAAGTTCACTGTGTTGTGGGAATCCAATGAAAAAATCATTACCTTAGGTGATCCACAGTATCATTTAAAGTAACAATGTAGAAAACCACATTAGATCTGGTGTGCTGGTAAATGCTGTTCATGGCTGCAATTGCACCTCCAAGCCTCTCATCCGAGGCTGCAATGACCACAGGAATCTCCTGGTCATCCCTCTCATCTGTCAGCCTCTGGGGAGCTGCAGGGATGAAATCTATAGGCTGAAGTCCTAAGGGACTTGGATCTGTGGAGTAAAAATGACATACTTGTTTTTATTATTATATATTATTATTACTACACTAAAATTCCCAACACTTCAATTATTCCTGCTTAGACGTCTGAGCTGAGGATTACAGTAGGCCAGTATCAAACACTCAGAGCATCTGCTTTTGAGAATCTGAGATGCTAATGAGTAGAATAACACCACATTTACAGAAAACAGCACACATTTAACCATACATATTTACACACAGCACAAGGTATTAAAAGGCTGAGCTACAATAGTCTGCACTTACCTTTGGTCCCCTCTGCCATGCCTATAGCCTCATTAACTTCCCCCTCCCATTCAGCCAAACCACGTGGTGAGTTCTGTCTGGTCAGAGCATGTGTTTTCCCACCAAATCTTAAAAATATATACATTTTTTAAAATTAAAGTAAAACCCAACGTACCTGACAGTTCCCGTCTCAGGAAGTCACTGAGGCTTAGAAAGTTATGATGAATAACGAGCAAAAATATGATAACAGCCACTATAAGGATGGAAATGTTCACTGAAAATTGAGAAGAAAAATCTTTATCAATATAACCAGAGAAGAACTGAGAAACTCAGATGCCAAAGATATATTAAAAAAAAAAAATCAGATAAGCACATATACACATACCTTTCCTTAACGTCATTTTTCTATTCTTATTTTATTAACATAAAGTTCCTGCAAACCTGCAAGAAAAAAATACAGTAGTCACTGCCAGCGCATTCTTCCATGAGGCATAGCACACTATCAACAGTGTCACAAGAGTTTCAGTATCAAAGGCAGTGAATGTTTCCCTTTGTCAAAGAGATAAAACTGTACGTCACATTTTAAAAAGTGAGTATGGTATCAGGAATTACCTAACTACAACCACAGAATCGCAGGGTGGGTTGGGTTGCAAGGAACCTTCCAGATCACCTGGCTCCAACTCCTGCCATGGGCAGAGAAATCATCCCTAACTTCTCTGGGCAACCTGTGCCAGGGCCACACCATCCTCACAAGGAAGAATTTCTTCTTAATACATCATTTAAAGCTGCCCTCTGTCAGTTTGAAGCCATTCCCCTTTGTCCTGTCATCCATGCACTTGTCCAAAGTCTCTCTCCAGCTCTCTTGGAGCCCCTTTAGGCACTGGAAGGGATTCTAGCAGGTCCATGTCCTTCTCATATTAGGGACCCCTCCCACTGCAATGACATATCTAAAGAAGATCTCAGAGATAAAAAGGAGACATGCAGATCTTGCCACTTACTTCACCGACAGAAAAAAAAAAAGCAAGCTAAACTCCTTCTGCCAGTGAAAAGTAATCTGAGAAGTTCTGGAAAATTATGTATGTTTTCTTTACCGTTGAAACTATTTATTTGACTATCTGAACTGGAAGCACCTGAACAATAAGATAAAATGTTATATTATTTCTTTCCATATTTAACCAACAGCAAGATTCTGATGTTTACGAGATTTTAACAAAGAGCATTATATGCTTTAAAAACCATTACATTCGCTACATAAAATACATTTATCAGAGTTTCAGCTGAAGTGTCATCACACAGAATAGACAACAAAAGTGAGAAAGAAGGCAGCACCATCATGTTATAGAAGGCGGTAGAAACACAACACCAATGCAATTTCGATAAGAAATTCAAAAATGCTTGTTCATTATTTAAGAGTCGACGTGAAATCAGAACGAGAGCTGCGTATCCTGGCGTGTGAAGGAACCCTCAAGTAACACACAGAAAGCTCTCTAACAACATGCAAACTTCCAGAAACGTGAGAGACTTGCAGAATCCCCAAATTAAAATACCTCACACTGTGCTGTACTGTTACATGTATCAGAACCACCTCCTTCCCGCCGCTGCGTTTGTCCCCCAGGGCAGACACATCAGCGGAGCCCAACAAATCCCTGCCCTGAGCTCTGTCCGGAGCACGGCCGCGCTGCTGGCACGGGGCGGGACGCGCAACTTTGCCTGGAGAGCACAACGCCACGTCCCGCTGTGGAACGAAGCGCTCTGCAATTCCCAGCGACACGGCCGGAGCCGCCACAGACACGGACACGGCCGGAGCCTCACACAGACACGGCCACGGCCGGTGCCTCAGGGACACGCGGCAGCCGGGCTGGGGGCAGTGACAGAACGTCCCATGCACAGGGATAGTCACGAACAATAAAACACACCGCGCTCCCCGAACTGCTCTGCGGGCACAGCCCCATTCCCCCGCACCGCCCGCGGCGCCTCGGCCCCTCACGGACCGTCCACCGCGCCGCCGCGGGTGCCCGCCCAGGTGCCTGACCGGCCGCCAGGCGCCGAACCCGCGCCGCGCCCACCCCGCCGCGCTACCGGGACCGCGGCGGCACCGGCGGCTCCGCGAGGCGAGCCCGAGGCTCGGGCGGGAGGGCGGCCCGCGGCTGCCGAGTTAGTGCGGATTCCCCACAGGCGGCCCCGCGGCGCCTCGCGCCTGCCAGGAAAGGCGCCCCGGCCGGGGTCCTGCGGGGAGAAGCCGCCGTTGCCGAGGAGACGCGTACCGGAGGGGAGCGGAGCAGCCCCGCAGCGGCGGCGGCGGTGCGGAGGCGATGGCCGGGGCTGGAGGCGGCACCCCGGGCCGACGAAGCTCGGGGCGGGGCGGACGGGGCGTGTTTCCGGCCAGCTCAGCAGCCGCCTTCCGCTCCGCCACGACGAGCGCCGGTAGCCGCGGGGAGGCCGCGCCGGGCCCCGCCCCGCCAACAGCAGGGCCCCGCCCGGGAGCGCCGGGACGACTGAGAAGAGGAGCAGAAAGAAGCCCGAGAAGCGCCGCCGCCATGCTGAGCGTGTTCCGCTCCATCCCCACGCAGATGGTAGGGCCCTCGGCACCGGGGCATTGCGGGAGACATGGCCGGGCGCAGGTTTAGTGTCCCCTGCCCGTACGGCGACACGGCCAGGCGCGGGCTCAGCGGCTCCTGCGCGATCTTGGCACCCGTGTACGAGGCACGGCTAGGGGAATACAGGATGAATCCATGTAATTCCGGTTTTTGACCTGGGACTCTGATGCTGTAGAAGGAAGTTATTAGGCAGCTGTGTAAGGGAAGCCCCGCTGTGCTTTCCTGCTTCCTCTAGACGGACTGAAGACAGCGTGTGCTCCCAGAGAGACACGTTTTCTAACGTCAGGCAAACATAGATTAGTTGGATTTGGAAGGAACTGGAGATCATCCAGTCCAACCCTGCCAAGGCAGGGTCACTTGGAGCAGGAATGAATCCAGGTGGATTTGGAACGTCTTCAGAGAGACGGACTCCACAACCTCTCTAGGCATCCTGTCCCACTGTTCTGCCATCCTCGACATAAAGTTCTCCCTTCTGTTGAGGTAGAACTTCATGTGTTTCAGTTTATGGCCATTGCTCCTCATCCTGTCGCCGGGCACCACTGAAGAGAGTCTGGCACCATCCTACTGGCACTCACCCTGGAGATACTGATCTGTCAAATATGTCATCTATCTTCTCCAAAACACAGGTGCCACACGCACCGTGCCCTCTCGGGCACACCCTCTTCTGTGGTGATACAGCTTTTACTTAGTGATGTTAAGGTGACTACAATGGTATTTTGAACTTGCATTACTTACCCTGATCAGACAGTGCTTCTGTTTCTAGGTCATGTGGTCAAGTCTGCAGAAGAGGTGTTTTCAGCCACTGTTAGAAAAATAATTCCAATCTGGTTTGAGAGTTTAAGAAAAACACGGAGAACCCATGGTCACATAGGCTGTAGGATCTAACCTGGAAGAGTTAAGTGGACAGGTCTGTGTTTTGAATAACTAAAAAGTGTCTCTTTCCACAGGACTACAAGGGCCAAAAATTAGCAGAACAGATTTTTCAAGGAATCATTCTTGTCTCTGCAGTAAGTATAGTAGACCTGTGCATGAGAACATAAAGGACTATTTTGTTTTCTGATCTTATAAATATTTTTCTTGTTGTTTGGGGTCACTAAAAGCTTTAAACAAAAGTCAGAGGGGCTGTCATGGATTAAAACTTTTTTTCCTCTCATCTTTTACTTTCCTTGTTGGCCTGCAATTTTGAAAAGCTTAGAAGGATGTATGGACTGTGCTTTTGAAAAATCTGTATTTTCTTACCTAAACCGACCCCCTGCAACTTAATCTTGTCATGGGAAATGTTTTTCTTCATTTAAAGTTTGATTTTTTTAATTCTTTTTTTCCAGGTAATTGGTTTCATCTATGGATACATCACTGAACAGTTTGGATGGACTGTCTACATAGTTATGGCTGGATTTGCTTTATCATGTTTGGTAAGAATGTTTTCCCCAAACCAAAAAACACATGCACTGTTTAATCTGGAATAATTGCTTAATTGAGGGGCTGTCAGAGTAATGTTTGCTATGCAATTCAGATTTATTAATACATATTTGTGCTTCCTTTGATCTGCATAAAGTGCTTTGCAGCCCATTAAATGCTTTTTTGGAAGTGCTAGCAGAATTTTTGCAATGTAATACCTCTTTTATTTTCATTTCAATTTAAAGTTAGTTTTAAGTCCAGCTGACAGCACTGGTAACAGAAAGGACAGGGAGGCCTTCTGTGCAGTAGCAGCTTGTCAGGACAATTTTGCAGCTGTCCCCTGCCTGACAAGGAGGCAGAATATGGAATTTCAGGAGTAATTCCTTACCCATGCATGAGAGGTGTCCCATTCCTATTGGGGCAATCCCAATCCAGTTTTACACGTGGTTTCAGCACAATTTGACCAATCACTACTCAAGACACACACACACACAGAGAGAACTGTTTTGAAAAGCCCCTGTAATTCTCTGGCATCATCATCTATCTGCTTCTTAAACATCCCCCAGTCAGTCTGGCTGCAGTTACTTACCCGTGCTGCCAGGCAAGGGGAGGGTCTCAGTGCAGTGTGGGAGGTGCTGGGAATGCTGTTGTCCTCCTGCCTGCAACAACCTGAGGTGCTTTAGTCACATAACTTAAGCATGACTTTGCAATGTAAACTGTAAATGTATATGAAATTGTATGAATTTTATTAGGACTAAGAGATGAGAAGTTAGGGATGAAGATTTTCCTAAGCAGCTGTACAGAACAGCTCTCTAGCATCTCAGTGTGCGTGTTCTGACTGGCCTCCTTTGCCCTCAGCTGACACTCCCTCCGTGGCCCATGTACCGCCGCAATCCCCTCAAGTGGCTGCCAGTCCAGGACTCCGGCACGGAAGAGAAGAAGGCAGCAGACAGGAAGCCAAAGAGACATTCTAAAAGCTAAAAAATTACTGTTTCCAGGTTGTTACTTTGTTTGTTAAATTCATTTCCAATGAGAAATACTTCTTGGCTTAGTGTTTGGGTTTTTTCTTAGTATTTTGTATGCAACCAAGCTCTGCAGGGAGCATGAAGGCTGGAGTTTGGAAATTGGGTCTGGAGTTTCAGGGGAGTCACTGAGAACACAGGGATGTGGGGATTAACTTCAGAAGGCTACTGGAGGTAACACCTGGAGTATTTCACTAAAAAGGAACACAGTGAATCAAATTAATTCTAGTTGCCATAGATAATAAAGAGCTGGACTTCAACTGAAATATTTCTAACTGTGTGTAAAACAAGCTGTCAGTAGTGCCAGGTTTTAACAAATACTGTGAAATGGTACATGCCCCACAGTTCTGAAAATAACTGTTCTAGGATTGGAGGGTGCAGTTTTTGTTTTAAATAAATTTTCCCTGGAAGAACAAGTAAGAATAGCTCTTGAAACATTGTAACTCAAGCGTGTAGTGTGTGTGAGGCAGCAGGATCCATATGTATGGCATTTTATTTTACTAGTCATGTCAGTAAGCTCCCTCACAGCTGCTGGAGGTTACAGTATTTCAACTACAGGCAGGAAAAGAGACAGGTTGTTCATTTATAATTTTATTTTACAAATTCAATTCCATTTGACTTCTTTATTATTTAAAAAACATGTGCTTTTCCTGTAGGTAGGTGCCCAACAATGCCTGGGGACTGTAGTGAGACACTCTGGATGCAAACAAAGAGAAATAAGTGTTTTATCTTTTCACTAAGTGACTCTGGTCTTGGGCACTTTCATTCCTAAAAGGAATTAGTATTTGTAAGGCAAAGGGATTTCTCCAGCTGGAACCATGGTAACCATGGCTGCATTACTTTCAAACATTTTCAGACTTATTTTATCCATTTACCAAATGCTTTCCCCTACCTTGGTGACTGCCTCAGCAACAAAACACAAGAGCAAAGTCTCTCCTTACAAGCAGTACAGCTGCCCCTTACAGCACTTGGACTTGGCAATTTACACAACCTGAGGACCTTGAGTTCCACAAAAAATAGTAACTGTCTCTTCATGCTAAATTTTCACAACTATCTGATGTAACAGATTATAGTTTATCACATCAGAGCCTTGGCAGAGATTTTGTTATTGTATTTAGTATGAGTCCATACCAAAAACCTTTTGCTATGACAAATTCAAACCAGAACATAATCTTTCTTGACACTCCTTAGTATATAAAACTTGGTATCCACCCCTATTTGCATCTACGAAAAGCAACTTTTTAAGAGAGTAAAAACTAAACTAAACAGTTTCTCTTCTGAGAAAGTGATAGCCTGGTTCACATTGTAACATGAAAAAATATTACTACCAACTCTAACATTTTCTGCAAGTTCACCTCCTTATTCCAGCAAAGGACATTAATGAATGAACATGCTTTGTAAGCTGGTCCAGTCTATCAAAGGAGCTAGAAAACAGTTCTTTTCTGCAAGGAAAAGATTCTGGTCAGAGCTTCACATTTTCTTCAAGGAATTTCAGGTGCCGAGCCTTCGCACTGTAACTCGCGTACTTGTCTCCCATGTGCTCCCGCAACTGCAGCTGTTCAGAACACACACAGAACAAAACCCACAACATTTACTGGTGTGGAAAAGAAGCAGAAGCTACCAAAATATTAACAAAAAAATACCAAAGCACTCAGCTGAAAGAAGCATGTGAAGCTTGGCAATGTAGATGAGAGAGAAGAAAAATGAACACTGTTGTTGTCTTAAAACATGAGATTTTCAAATCCCACCCAAAAATTTAAAATACAAGATCTTCACAGGTAACAAGTCAAGTACTGCCTGGGTAAGTGTAACCAAGTTTTGAATCAAAGGAGCTGGAGGTATTCTTCATTCACCTCTATTAGGGATTGATGTTAAATAATTTCTTATTTTGGACGTGATGGCAAAAATTTGAGACAGAAAAAATTACTGGAGAAACAGCACACACTGAAATTATTTGCATCCCTCACACCTCCAAACTCAAGAACCATGGTTCAATTCTAAAGCTCTGATGGTTTCTGAAGAAGTTGCAGTTGAACATAGTCTACATCTAGAATCAAACTTAAGAGGGAAAATTAGAATATACTTAGGTCCTTGCCTGCCCATGATTACATAAAGACTTTCTGGAATCAAGGTTTACCCTATCTCAATAGGGTAAAGACCCTGCTCATTTATCTAGGCTTATAAAGAAATGAAACAATTTTATTATGAAAGACATTCACCTCTCTTTTTGCTTCATCCTCTTCTTCCATGATTCTGTACACCTTCTCAAGAAGTTTCACTCCCAATCCTTGCACCACATCAGATCTCAGGATTTCAACCATTCTCCTAATCTTGTAAGGGACCAATAACATATCTATTTAAAATAAAATACAATAAAAAAATCAGTGCAGTAGTGATTACTTTCAGTACAGATAATTTTTATATTCTACAGAAGAATATGGGACCACTCTAAGTATTACCACAGAATCCCAGAGCAACAGACCTGAAGGAATCTCTTCTATTTTTAATTTCTCTGATTCATCAGGTGATTTTCCATGCAAAATCAAAGTATCTCGATATTGTCTATTAAGTTTAAACTCTGGGGCTGGGGTTGAGGTTACACAACACTCAGAGTTCTCCTTGGAGTCCATTTTCAGTGTCCACGTCATCAGCTGCACCAAGTCATTCATTTCATTCACGTTGCTTTTCCTAGGAGAGAAGGAAAAAATGATTCAGTCACCACCAAATGCAACTTCCACCCTGCATTCCAAGAGCTTTCAATGAGTTTATTGAGGTCCTAGTAAGTATTCCATGTTAAACTCCTTGTTGTGGAGCAGTTTTATCAATAACAACATCAGTACTATTTCATTTTACAACAGCTCAGAGCCCAGTCACTGCAAACTACTGGCTACTGCTCACTCTGCTATTGCAACAAATTGCATCTTTTGAGAGCTGCATACACTGAAAAAAATCAGAGAGAAATTCAGCCTCATTTACAGTGGAAAGAAAGCACATTGGCGCATTTTAACTTGTGCTTTTAATGCATCCTGACAGTAGATGCCTTTGGTTCTGGAAGATTGGCTTCCTGGAAGCTACAGTTCATAAACCAGAAGTATACAATCCCACAGCCCAGAAAGTCGAGCGTGGAAAGTGTATAGTCACAGAGAGACAATAATCCAATGGGGCTGCACTTTCCTCCTTGCATCACATACTTCTTCAGTCACTCACTATGCAGAGATAAAGTGTGAAAGCCATTTTTTTTCCACTCCAAGTCAAGGTCCAGTATAGCAGTGAAAACTTTTGCACAGTATTAAACAAAATCCTTACTTCTCCATGGAATCACCATCAGACTTGTCTGTAGAGCTTGTGGAAGAGCTTAGCTCATCATCAGACAGGCAATGGGCTTCTCTCTTTCTCTAAGGAAGAGGGAATAAATAACAAAAACTCTAATAGCTGAAAGTAATTCAGCAATATGGCATAAATTACTGTTCCTACATGGAAGAAACACTTTTGACAAAGTTTACCTGAGAAATACTGGGATCTGATGAGGACTGAGGAACTTTAATAGAGTTTCCCACAAGTGCCTTCACTTCAACTACTGCACCATTTAATGACTGTCTCGCTGGAACCACTGGAAGGATGACATTTTGACAGTATTTACAAATAAGCTGTGTGTATTCTGAATTAGTTTCATGCTCATGCAAGAAAAAAAACTATCACTTAGCAGAAGGCAGGCAGGGAGGTAGGTATTCTGCTAATAGACAACATTGAAGCTTCTGTTTGAATATTCTATATTTCATGTACATTTCAAAGACAAGTTGTCAACACAAAACACAACTGAACATAACTAAAAAGCAGAAGAATACAGACATGTTAACAGAACTTTTTATTTAACACAGCACTAGCCCCTTAGTGCACCGTTCTGAAGATGGCAGTGAAGAACAGCCAAGTAGTTATCATTTCTTCACAAAGAAGTTATTAGCCTACTTATACATGAACTGCTAACATGTAAACATTAAAATTACCAGAGGGAAGCATCTCCCGAGACTGTTTCAGCCTCCTTCGTTCTCTTGCTGACAAGGGCCGCTCCTTCAAAGGAAGTTAATTTTATATTAATTTGTAATCACCATTATGCCTTTTGTTTTCTAATCGTCTATTAAGCAAAAAATCCTTCTCAATTGATATGGGAGAGGGAGCTATTATTTAATGCTTAATTATTTATTATAAAACTGTCTTCAATGAGACCAATCTGAACTCTAGAAAGGAGCTTCTGACCTCCAAGGTTTAGCAAAGCTCATCTCACACTGAGCAGGGCTTCCATGAGACAGACGAAGCCACTACACATTTCTTTACTCACTGTGCACACACTCGTGGAACAAACTGCTCAGAAGGAATGAGACAAAACCGAGCAGGCACAGTTTTCATCACTAACCTTTGGAATGGCTGCTTGGCTGGGTTTGGCACTATCTGCAGGCTCAGAGTGCTCTGCACCCCTCTGGGCTGTCTTTGGGGTCACATCAGAAGGAACAGGTAGAGGCCGAGGAGAAGCTGCTCTGAACTTGACAGAGAAGTGAGCAAGAATTTACATTTATTTTTATTAAAAGTTTTAGTACTCTGCAATCGAGGAGACATTCTTGCATGGTAAAGCTGGATGCCAGAGATTTTGAATCTTACTGTAACTTTTTCACACCTCCCAGCTTGATCCTCCCCTCTCCCCATCTCTGCTTGCATCCATTTCCCTTCTTTCCATCTCTTCATCTTATCCCCCTCCTCCCAGAATATTTTTCTGCCAATGCCTTTGCAACAATTGTCTCCATCCCCAAATAGCAAAACCCAAAGAGGAAAACCAGGTTACAAATCACCAATCACCTTTTTCTTTAGCCTTGTGCCTTCCCCCAAGGAAACCTCCCTGCTCTGTGGAAAAACTGACAGGAGTCTATCCTGTGTGCATGCCAAGAGTTTCTTCCCACAGTTTACACTCATAAGCTCAGGGCAGCCATTACATATCTGTTCTAAAGCACTACTAAGCCACTACCCACCACAAGTAGCCTTATCCAAAGGTACTGACTTGTCACAAACAGTGAGAAGTCCTGATGCAATTTCCTAGAAACACTGCAACCCAGTAAAGGCACAGCCCACGTGGCACACCCACCTCATCCCTGTGAGGTACTGGGATTTTCAAAGATTTACTCAGGCTGCTTCTAATAGTCACCTTCAGTGATCTGCATTTGTTACCACTGAAGTTTTAAAGATACACACGAAACAAGAACAGCATTAGAACCCCCACCCTTTTTTAGAAAATTGGTCCCACATTTAAAGAGGAAAAACACAAGAGTCTTAAAGGAAAGAGAAGTATTTTTCAAGTATCTGCACCTTCTCTGAGCAGCCTTCAGTAAGTTCTCTCTTCTGCTGCTGCTGCCGTGAGAGAGAGGGTTCACTGACAGAGCTGTGAGGCTGCATGTGCAAGGTCATTTTTCCCTGAGCACCTCCTGAAGCTCCATGACTGACACCATCCTAATAAGTAAAAGCATTAAAAAAAAAATGCAGACCTGTCATTTCCAGATTTACACAAACACTCTTTAAAAAACAAGTGAAAACAGGCCACTTTACTATTTGGACTGCCTTAACA